TGGAGGCTCACGACGCAGGTAAAGAAAGAATTCTCAACACAAAGATTAGGACAGAAAGAAGTAAGAAGTTTATTTTACTTTCTTTGGGGTGGGGGGAGGGAAAGAGAGAAAGAGAAAGGGAGAGAAAGAGAGAGAGAAGGGAAAGGGAGAGAAAGAGAGAGAGAAGGGAAAGAGAGAGAAAGAGCAAGGGCATGACACTGAAAAGAAAGAAAGGGGAAGTGCCAGCCCCAAGGCTGAGGGGCTCAGAATTTTTATGGGGAAAAAGAGGAAAAAAGAAAAAAAATTATTGCTGTAGACTGATTAGCAGGAGACAGCTGTGAGATGTTACTCCTCCTTTAGACTGTTGACACCAATCTTATCAGTCTCCTCTGGAATATGGTCTGGCCGGACTGGTCTTGTCTGGTCTGGCGAATGTAAAGCAGGAGGATTTACACTCCTTTTCTGTCTTCTCAGCTCTTTTCAAATGCCATAAAACAGTCTCTGTGGGTGGTTGAAAGACAGCAAGTTAAGACCTATGTGATTAATCTTAAGGACAGCTGGTTAAGGTCCCTACTGTTAGAGATAGGAAGTTAGTTTATTTTTCTGTTAGTTTATTATCAAGGTCATCCTTTCACTGCCCACAGTACCTGTTTTTATAAATAAAGTTTTATTGGAATACATCCATGCCCATTTGTTTATGTATTGAATATGGTTGCTTTCATGTTAACAACAGCAGAGATAAGTAGTTGTGATTGTTTGCTGACCTCTGTTGAAGAGTGACTCCAACATACTTCCCTTCCTTTCCTTCTGATAGTAGGGTAGATATTTTAGGCATTATCAGAATTCACAGTGTGCTGAATGTAATGCCTTACATAGCGTTTTCAGATTTGTCACATTAAATTTATATAATGGAGAAATTAATTTCCTTCTCTAATTCAAAGAGTTATTATTAGATAATATATTGGAAATATTTTGATAGGTATAAATACTGTAGAAATATAAAGTTGTGTTATGAATCTAATATAATCTTTAAGAAAGTTTGTAACAAATGAGTAATTTGAATACTTCTCTGCCTGGTATTAATACAGTTTTAAGAAACAATGTACATAAATCCCCAAAATATTAGGATTAGACCTAGACCAGAATGGACCTTTAAATAAATTGTTATTTCAATCAGACGACTGAGGTCTGGAGGCATTCAATGATGTACCCAAACTGAAATTCGTGACAGAGCCATTAATTTTAAAACATCAGTGGTCTGGAGTTCTTTGTTTTCATTTGTTCACAAATATTGATTAAGGTTATATACGTTAAACATATTCAGTTTTATGTAATTCATAGTCTAGTATGAGAGTTTTGGAGCAGGAACATAAATCAGTAGACATGATTCGTGAGATACTATTTCGAATTTAGATTAGATTTCTTAGAAAATGTGGAAACAGTTTTTCCTTATGCAAACAAAAAAGTTATTAATTGTTAAATAATGTTGTCAAACTGCAAGTATGAGAATGCTAATTCTTATAAAACTCAGAGACATATTATGAATGCATCACAAAAATTCAAGCATGACAAAAATTCCAGAAGTTCGACAATTTTGTCACAACATTTCATCTCCTATTCACCAGAATGCCTTGAATGATGCTTATGGAAATTTAATATGCTATGAAAAAGAGGTCACCAGGGCATTGGAGATCATCACTTCCCTTGAAGCCATCATCGCATCCCATAGAGTAGACCTTGATAATCCAGAAGAATCACTAGAAATGCCTCTTAGGAAACAAGAGGAATTGGAATCCACAACAGCAGACATCCAGGACCTGACTGAGAAATTGGGAGCTATATCCAGCCCTGAAGCCAAACTACAGCTTCAGTGTACTTTACAGGAAATAGTTTCTAAGAACTCAGCCATGAAGGAAGCTGTCCAAGTACAGAAAGCTAAGGTAGAAAGGTAGGTCTTCTTTCTAAATGTAATGCTTTAAGAACATAAAGTATAGGGGTTTTTTTCTTTATAATTAAAATGTATGCATTAAAGATAATTTGGAAAATATGAAAAAGTAAAAATTACTATTTAAAGACAACCATGGTAGATATTTTATTGTATTTCTTTTCTTTTTTCTTATTTAATATTGACTGCATACAACAGATTGTTTATAAAAGTATGTATATGGTATAAAGAATAAC